TACAGCTTAAAGGTAAAATAGGTGCCCTTTAATGTGTTTTACTATCATTCTATAGAAATGTGCAATGTCTCTAGTCTTAACAGCAATATAACACTCAAAAACACTAATAATTTATATAGGATCTTTAAATATATGTAAAAAAATATATATAAAAATAATTTTATGAGTTTTCATAGTCACAATATGATTGAATAATGTGCTCGAAGTTTAAATGTTAGAAAAATAAACCATTTTAGACATTTTGCCGAACAAAAAGTGCACAATTTTGTAGAATGACCCAAAAATATGGGTAAAATAAAATAAACATTTTATTACACAAGGATACACGAGTTTTCCGTATAAATACGAAAAATATACTAAATTATTAGTGAATGAGACCTATTGTTTAACACCGAACACATTACACAACCACTATTACAAACTACTCAAAACCTCAATATGTAGAAATAAAGAGTTCATGTCGTGCTTTATAAATTACTTAATTCTTAAAATTAAATGGATAACAATTGGTCTTAGCATAAATCGCTCATTATCCTTAAAGAAACATGGTTTAGGTTGTTGCTAGATCAGATATGGTTGCGGCCAGAATTTAACGAAAATGATTCATATATTTTATTAAATTTCCCATTTATTTTATTTTTTTGTTTTTATCTTGTTTCACAAAAACATTCGTCATCAAAAAACTGAATCAATTGATTAGAATAATTGTATTATATTTAAATTTAAGCTTTTCGCTTTGACTATCTGGTATTTTTGTTCAGATCAGATGTTCTGAAAGGTGAGTAGTAGGGCTGCACGATATTGGAAAACCTGATAATGCAATATTTTATTTTCCTCCGATAAATATTACGATATGAATATTTTCTGGGGAGTCTAACAGTACTCGGGTACAGAAATTATATAATCACAATGCAAAAAAAAAAAAATAATAATAAATAAATAAAATTCTTACTTTCTTCTAGTCCAAATATCTAAACATTCTTAAATCAAGTAAAAATATTGTTTTGTTTTCAACTTCAGAAAAAATATGGCAAAATTAACAGTTTTTCCTTAAAACAAGAACATTATCTGCCAGTGGGGGAAGCTAAATAATATTGTTTTTCCTTTGAAATGTAGATATTTGGATTAAAAACAAGACAAAAGTTTTATAAAGTCAGAATTCCGAGTTATAAAGTCAGAATTGCGAGTTATAAAGTCAGAATTTTGAGTTATAAAGTCGCAATTCCCAGTTATAAAGTCACAATTCCGGGTTAAAGTCAGTATTCCGAGTTATTAAGTCAGAATTCCGAGTTAATAAGTCAGAAATCCGAGTTAAGAAGTCGCAATTCCGAGTTAAAGTCAGAATTCAGAGTTTTAAAGTTGCAATTCCGAGTTATTAAGGCAGAATTACGGGTTAAAGTCAGAATTTCAAGTTATGAAGTCAGAGTTCCAAGTTATTAAGTCAGAATTCTGAATTATAAAGTCAAAATTCCGGTTTAAAGTCAGAATTCCCAGTTATAAAGTCACAATTCCGGGTTAAAGTCAGTATTCCGAGTTATTAAGTCGGAATTCCGAGTTAATAAGTCAGAAATCCGAGTTATAAAGTCACAATTCCAAGTTATTAAGTCAGAATTCAGAGTTATAAATTCGCAATTCCGAGTTATTGAGTCAGAATTCCGAGCTATAAAGTTGCAATTCTGAGTTATTAAGGCAGAGTTCCGGGTTAAAGTCAGAATTCCAAGTTATGAAGTCAGAGTTCCAAGTTATAAAGTCAGAATTTATAAAGTCAGAATTCAGAGTTATAAAGTTGCAATTCCGAGTTATTAAGTCAGAATTCTGAGTTATAAAGTCACAATTCCGGGTTAAAGTCACAATTCCCAGTTATAAAGTCGCAATTCCGAGTTAATAAGTCAGAATTCCGAGTTATAAAGTCACAATTCCGGGTTAAAGTCAGTATTCTGAGTTATTAAGTTGGAATTCCGAGTTAATAAGTCAGAAATCCGAGTTATGAAGTTGCAATTCCGAGTTATTAAGTCAGAATTCAGAGTTATAAAGTTGCAATTCTGAGTTATTAAGTCAGAATTTAGAGTTATAAAGTTGCAATTCCGAGTTATTAAGTCAGAATTCTGAGTTATAAAGTCACAATTCCAGGTTAAAGTCAGAATTCCGAGTTATAGACGCAATTCCAAGTTAAAGTCAGAATTCCGAGTTATAAAGTCGCAATTCCGAGTTAATAAGTCAGAATTCTGAGTTATAAAGTCACAATTCCGGGTTGAAGTCAGTATTCCGAGTTATAAAGTCACAATTCCGGGTTAAAGTCAGTATTCCGAGTTATAAAGTCGCAATTCCGAGTTATTAAGTGAGAATTCAGAGTTAAAAAGTCGCAATTCCGAGTTAATAAGTCAGAATTCCGAGTTATAAAGTCACAATTCCGGGTTGAAGTCAGTATTCCGAGTTATAAAGTCGCAATTCCGAGTTATTGAGTCAGAATTCCGAGCTATAAAGTTGCAATTCTGAGTTATTAAGGCAGAGTTCCGGGTTAAAGTCAGAATTCCAAGTTATGAAGTCAGAGTTACAAGTTATAAAGTCAGAATTCAGAGTTATAAAGTTGCAATTCCGAGTTATTAAGTCAGAATTCTGAGTTATAAAGTCACAATTCCGGGTTAAAGTCACAATTCCCAGTTATAAAGTCGCAATTCCGAGTTAATAAGTCAGAATTCCGAGTTATAAAGTCACAATTCCGGGTTAAAGTCAGTATTCTGAGTTATTAAGTTGGAATTCCGAGTTAATAAGTCAGAAATCCGAGTTATGAAGTTGCAATTCCGAGTTATTAAGCAGAATTCAGAGTTATAAAGTTGCAATTCTGAGTTATTAAGTCAGAATTTAGAGTTATAAAGTTGCAATTCCGAGTTATTAAGTCAGAATTCTGAGTTATAAAGTCACAATTCCAGGTTAAAGTCAGAATTCCGAGTTATAGACGCAATTCCAAGTTAAAGTCAGAATTCCGAGTTATAAAGTCGCAATTCCGAGTTAATAAGTCAGAATTCTGAGTTATAAAGTCACAATTCCGGGTTGAAGTCAGTATTCCGAGTTATAAAGTCACAATTCCGGGTTAAAGTCAGTATTCCGAGTTAAAAAGTCGCAATTCCGAGTTAATAAGTCAGAATTCCGAGTTATAAAGTCACAATTCCGGGTTGAAGTCAGTATTCCGAGTTATAAAGTCGCAATTCCGAGTTATTGAGTCAGATTTCCGAGCTATAAAGTTGCAATTCTGAGTTATTAAGGCAGAGTTCCGGGTTAAAGTCAGAATTCCAAGTTATGAAGTCAGAGTTCCAAGTTATAAAGTCAGAATTCAGAGTTATAAAGTTGCAATTCCGAGTTATTAAGTCAGAATTCTGAGTTATAAAGTCACAATTCCGGGTTAAAGTCAGAATTCCCAGTTATAAAGTCGCAATTCCAAGTTAAAGTCAGAATTCCGAGTTAATAAGTCAGAATTCCGAGTTATAAAGTCGCAATTCCGAGTTATTAAGTCAGAATTCAGAGTTATAAAGTTGCAATTCCGAGTTATTGAGTCAGAATTCCGAGCTATAAAGTTGCAATTCTGAGTTATTAAGGCAGAGTTCCGGGTTAAAGTCAGAATTCCAAGTTATGAAGTCAGAGTTCCAAGTTATAAAGTCAGAATTCAGAGTTATAAAGTTGCAATTCCAGGTTAAAGTCAGAATTCTGAGTTAATAAGTCAGAATTCCGAGTTATAAAGTCGCAATTCCGAGTTAATAAGTCAGAATTCCGAGTTATAAAGTCACAATTCCGGGTTAAAGTCAGTATTCCGAATTATTAAGTCGGAATTCCGAGTTAATAAGTCAGAAATCCGAGTTATAAAGTCGCAATTCCGAGTTATTAAGTCAGAATTCAGAGTTATAAAGTCGCAATTCCGAGTTATTAAGTCAGAATTCAGAGTTATAAAGTTGCAATTCCGAGTTATTAAGTCAGAATTCAGAGTTATAAAGTTGCAATTCCGAGTTATTAAGTCAGAATTCTGAGTTATAAAGTCACAATTCCAGGTTAAAGTCAGAATTCCGAGTTATAGACGCAATTCCAAGTTAAAGTCAGAATTCCGAGTTATAAAGTCGCAATTCGAGTTAATAAGTCAGAATTCTGAGTTATAAAGTCACAATTCCGGGTTAAAGTCAGTATTCCGAGTTATAAAGTCGCAATTCCGAGTTATTGAGTCAGAATTCCGAGCTATAAAGTTGCAATTCTGAGTTATTAAGGCAGATTTCCGGGTTAAAGTCAGAATTCCAAGTTATAAAGTCAGAATTCAGAGTTATAAAGTCACAATTCCAGGTTAAAGTCAGAATTCCGAGTTATAGTCGCAATTCCAAAATAAAGTCAGAATTCAGAGTTATAAAGTCGCAATTCCGAGTTAATAAGTCAGAATTCCAAGTTATAAAGTCAGAATTTTGAGTTATAAAGTCGCAATTCCCAGTTATAAAGTCACAATTCCGGGTTAAAGTCAGTATTCCGAGTTATTAAGTCAGAATTCCGAGTTATTAAGGCAGAATTCCGGGTTAAAGTCAGAATTCCAAGTTATGAAGTCAGAATTCTGAGTTATAAAGTCACAATTCCAGGTTAAAGTCAGAATTCCGAGTTATAGTCGCAATTCCAAGTTAATAAGTCAGAATTCAGAGTTATAAAGTTGCAATTCCAAGTTATTAAGGCAGTTATAACGTGAATGAGACCTATTGTTAAACATCGTAAACATCACACACCCCACACCATTAAAGATAACTCCAAATCTCAATATTTAGAAATGAAGAGTTCATGTTGTGCTTTATAAAATTATTTTGATTTTAATTAAAATTAAATGGATAACAATTGGTCTTAGCATAAATCGCTAATTATCCTCAAAGAAACATGGTTTAGGTTGTTGCTAGATCAGATATGGTTGCGGCCAGAAGTTAACGAAAATGATTCATATATTTTTATTAAATTTCCCATTTATTGTATTTTAGAAATATGAACAACTCCAACCCTAAATATTAAATTACTTAAGAATTTTATTTTTTAACACCTACCCCCAACCTAACTGTCACAGCACTGTAAAAATATTAATCATTGTTACACAGTGTCATAAAAAATCCTGCAATATTGATGTGCATGTCGTACTTCCGGCCGGCTGCGTATCCGATCTAGACATTACCCGTGATATACATCAAAATCCCATTATTCAAGGCCTAGGCCAGAAAATCCAAGCAAACCCAGGCAGGAACAGAGCTATGAGGATCGAGGAGAACAGATTCACTCCGTTGTTGTCCAGGATGGGTTTCCCACATATTCGTTTAACACTTGGAGACTCGTAACTCACAACTTTACGAATTGATTCATCATAACCTTGATGGGAGAAAAAAGAAGTGTAAACATGATTAATAAAGATAATAATAATAATATTTATTGTTTTTTATTAAAATAGTGGACAATATCTGAAAACAAAAAAATAGTGCCCATTATTATGGAGTTAGTTTGTGTCCTAAATATTTAAATGTTTTATTTTAGAGCAAAACCAACAACACTTTAATAAAAGTAAATATTGCAATTGAAAGTACTTGCTAAAACATGTTAAATAAAAAAAAAACGTACTGATAAATTAATTTTAATTGCAAATAAATCTCTTGGCTCTTCACACATTTATCACACTTTAATTAAAATACTGTTGCTAAACAGTAAGAGAAGAGATGTATTACACATTTCTGACACATATTCACTTTTTTAAAGCGCTGCCATTGTTTTAAACACAAGTGTACACACGAAGTTATTTCATTTACCTTTAATATAGATCAAGAGATTACCTGAATACTGCATGGTTGCACCTAGGAGTGAGTCTAGCAGGGAACCCAACAAGCCAGCTATCGCTCCATACAAGATGAGAGGCCACTGAGAAACTGCTGAATGCAAATCTTTCACCAGCAGGATCTGCATGAAGAAGTACGCTACACCTGCTGCACCTCCACCCAAAACACTGGCCAATAACCCAACAGAAGTGACTCCACCATTGGTACCTGGAAAGCATTTTAAATAAATGAAGACAAATATATATATATATATATATATATATATATATATATATATATATATATATATATATATATATATATATATATATATATATATATATATATATATATATATATATATATATATATATATATATATATATATATATATATATATATATATATATATATATATATATATATATATATATATATATATATATATATATATATATATATATATATATATATATATATATATATA